AGAAGTTGTTTAAAGATTTTAACATATTTGACCCCTGTGACCTTGAAAATTGATGAAGGTCATTTATTTGAACAAACTTGGTAGCCCTTCATCCAAGCATGCTTCTGGCCAAATATCATCACCCTAGGCCTTTTGGTTACTGAGAAGAAGTTGTTTAAAGTAAAAAGTTGACGCCGGACGGACGCCGGACGGACGCCGGACGCCGGACGCCGCACCATGCCATAAGCTCACTTGGCCCTTCGGGCCAGGTGAGCTAATAAAAGCACAGAAAACTGAACATTAACTAAATGTGTCAAAAATTGCAAACATCACATACTAAGAATGCTGTCAGCTCACCTCGGGGGCTACAAAGTTTGCTGTATAGCAGGGCGTCATCAGAAGGCCGTTGTCTGCCCTAAGCTGCTTAGCAAAGCCAAAGTCACATATCCGAAGGCTGTCGGGCGACCCACTCTCATCAGCATACAAAATATTGGATGGTTTTAAGTCTCTATGTACAACCTGCAAAACAAAACATAAATGAAATTCTTGAAAAGTTTACCCATTAAGATCATAAGTCTGAACAAGAGCCCCAACTGTTATAAACTCATTCACCCATGAAATTTCATAATGAACTATTCCCACCTTTGAACTGGAAGAGTTCAAATGTATCTTCAGGGGTGAAAGAGTTAATCTCACACAAGTAACATTAAAATGAGCTGATTTAAGCTACAGAACAATTCATTTGAACAAACTTGGTAGTCTTTCATCCAAGAATAATACTGCACATATATCATCACCCTGGGCCTTTTGGGTATTGCGAAGATGTTTAAATATTTTAACACATTTGACCGATATGACCTTGAAAGTGGGTCAAGATCATTCATATAAACAAACTTAAGTAAGAAATGAATTACTAAAATATAGGTAAAAATATTTTCTACAAACATATAAAGTTCTCAAAATTACATTCAGCGACAAACCCCAATGTTTTATAGAGCAGTTGATAGCCGACCATAAACAGACGACCAATTAGAATGTTGTCATAATTGTCAGTTTTAGCAGACTAGCTACTGGCCAATTATCATCACCCTGGGCCTGTTCGTTATTGAGAAGTTGTTTAAAGAAAAAAGTTGACCCTGGACGGACTGATAACAGATGCCGTTCCAATGGCTTATAAGCTCACTTGGCCCTTTGGATCGAGCTAAAAATATTGGTAAAAGGTTTTCTTCATCTCCTAGCTACCCTCTCTATATTCTATTTTTTCTGGTGGTTTTCACATTACTATATGCGTATTAAGTGTGACAGTAGACAAAAGGGATTAAAATATAATTGCACTTAACAACTGCAAAACAGCGCGTGTATTCAGTTAGTGATGGTTGCCATCTTGGATTGTGAAGAGTACAAACTGGGAAGCGGAATGAAAATCTTGACTTGTTATTTTAAAATAAGAAAGGCCCAAATAAGATTACTGTTTAGATCAAGGGGGTGGGGGTGGGGGGGGTTCCGATAGAGCATTCTTGTCTACACGAAATTTGTTTAAAATCCCTAAAATCATACTAAAGGAGAAGGAATTTAATTAGCTATTACTACAGACCCCGCGTACACGTTCGCTGTTCCACTTTCAGCATACCGTTTGCGTAGCATTTCCGTACCGTTTGCATAGCACTTGCGTAGTACTTCCATACCATTACCGTAGCATTTCCGCAGCACTTGTGTAGCATTTCCGTAGCACTTCCGTATCTTGCGTCTACATCATTCCATTTAAAAAACGTTTGTGAAACGTTCGGTCGAAAATTTTACGGAATATATATTTGTCCAAACGAATTGTAAAAAAAATCATTATAAACCGCATTACGTGAAAATTATTCCAACTATCATAATAGTCTGAAGGGAAAAAACCCCACAAAAATGACGGTTTACACATACATGGACGTAACAGCCCACTCCCCTGGGCCTATTGTGTGTTCCCCACACCAGCAGCTAGGCCTTAGGGGTAATTTAAATAACAGGCATACAGCTGGCCATGTGGTAATGACCTGTCCCTTGTTTAAGTTCACAACTTTAGTGTCCGTTATAAAGGTTGTTAGGGCAACATGACCACCCGCTGACATACATTTCTTTCAATATGATATCTATATACCTGAGAATCTAGGCAGTGATAATGCATTGACCATTCACCTGTGGTCACATTGGATTCTGATGTGCTGTACCTGATCAAGGTCACATTCTGTGATTTCAAGGCAATTAAGTCCATGTCAATTAATCCAGTTCATTGTCTATCCATCANCAGAATCCAATGTGACCACAGGTGAATGGTCAATGCATTATCACTGCCTAGATTCTCAGGTAGATATCATATTGAAAGAAATGTATCTGTCAGCGGGTGGTCATGTTGCCCTAACAACCTTTATAACGGACACTGAAGTTGTTTATACCTTAAACTGTAATCTACTGTATACTTTGGCTGTCCCTCGATCAGGAAATGACAGCCCCAGGCACAATTTCATTTCACAACAGTGCCTTAACCAAGGAAAACTAATATTTGACTTGGAATTACTAATTTAATAAAAAAAAAATGTCCCTTATTAGGATATTTAACTTCTCACAAAGATGATTTGTTTTAAAACTGTTTAAATAATCTATCATGAGTTCTGTTATCAGCGAGCAAGGTTGAATACTAACCCTAATACGTAACAAACTTTTCATATCAGATTAATGAAAATGAAATTTTTCAGTAATCATTAAAAAAAAATCATTATGAAGATAACTTTATTGTGATCATGTGACTGAGTTCCTAAGAAAATAATTACTGCATGATTTCTCGTCACTCAGGACTTATTGTAATAAATCCCTTGTTACTCGAAAACCATGCAATAACCTTTACTTTTTGTCTATAGCAGTGACGTATATATTACAATACGTCTCTGTCTATAGTAAGTTTGTTAACAGAGTGCCCTCTCTGTGTGTGGTAATTATAAAGGTGTCAAAAATCAGTCAAGCGGTTCCGGGCTAGTGTACCTATGAACTTACATGGTTCAATGAAAAAGATAATTGACCTTTTACAGCTGACCAATTAGTACCACTTAGCGCCTTTAGCAAGTTACACAGTGGACAGTATATATCAGAGGCTGGGATTAACCTGGCCTAGCCGGGTATATTTGGAAATATTATATTAACGACAACAAGATTAATTAATTAATTAAAGAAAGGTTTATTGATATTTTTAGAGAAGAATGTGCAGAAAAATATAGAATATTCTCGAAAGCAATTTTTTATAGATATATTTACGATCATTTTGATCTACAAAACTACCTGCGTAAACCCATTCAAAAAGAATATCTGAAAGAAATAAAAATATCTCCTCATAACTTAAAATTAGAAAAAGGGCGATATCAAAACATTGAATCGTCGAGTGTGTAATGTTTGTAATTTAGATGATGTTGAAGATCAATTGCTCGCAAATCAGAATGACATGTTTTGAAAACTTATTATATTAAAAAAAGCCAAGCATTTAAATTGAAAGGATTATTGAGTGTGAAAAATACAAAAGAAATAACCAACTTAGGGAAATATATAACATTTGCAAATTAGAGAGGAACCTAATTATTATAAATAGGTATAGTTGCACTTGTAATTGTGTTGTGAGTGTGTGTAAAGTTGTGTAATGTTATTTTGTATTTTGCACAGTTAATATTACAAATTTTGTAACTTTGTAACTGGTGAGTCGAACGACTCAAAGTAATAAAGAACTTGAACTTGAACCAGGCGATGACGCTACGTACATGTATGACAAAATATGAAATATTGTAGCACTTACACTTACCTGTATTGAGCACAGACAAACAAAATGTTATGTCGTTTTGCCACTAATCTATTGTGGTGTTGTCTTTTACAAGAGGCCCATGGGCCTTAACGGTCACCTGAGTCCTAAAGTATTTATTTTTGTTGTTGAAATATGTACCAATTTGAGTAAAAAATTGTTAAGTAAAACGTTTACTTAAGTTTGTCAGGAACATGAGCTGATCTTTCCTAGACCGATTTTCAGTTAGATCGGCCTATTAGAACTTGTTTTTAAGTATGAAATAGTTATTTTCAAAATAGTGGCCATGGCAGCCAAATTGTATTTCTGATCAATCCGAAAAATAACAAAACCTTGTCAGGACCATGAGTCGATCATTCCTACGAAGTTTCAGTTCAATCGGCCTAGCAGAACTTGACTTTAAGTTTGAAATAGTTTTTCAAAATGGCGACCGTGGCGGCCATATTGGATTTCTAATGACCCGAAAAATAACAACACCTTGTCAGGACCATGAGTTGATCATTCCTACTTAGTTTCAGTTCAATCGGCCAAGCAGAACTTGACTTTAAGTTTGAAATAGTTTTTCAAAATGGCGGCCGTGGTGGCCATATTGGATTTCTGATCGACCCGAAAATAACAACACTTGGTCAGGGAGATGTCAGTAACCTTCCGATGAAATATTAATGAAATCCCTTTGCCGGTATTTCAGCACAAGTTGAAAATGTAAAATGTTAACGCACGACGGACGAAGATGGATAGCTATTGCTATCCCTCTTCGTCCACCTGAGCTTTAGCTCAAGTGACCTATTGGTCACTTGAGCTAAAGCTCAGGTGACCTAAAAAGTCTGACAACGGTCAGAGACGTTTACCTTAAAGCAAAAATTTTCACTTGATTTTGTGTGCAGTACCATTCCCCATCACCAATTTCACGAAAAATTACT